ACTCCTTTAATACAAGTTTTCAAACTCCTAGACCTGTACTCTCCTATGGAAAAGGTACTTGAGGTAGACATCTAGTCTAGACAATAGATGATTGAAAATACTAGTTTACTGGCTCAGTGTTAAGATACCTTAGACAGGAGAAGATGGATGGTAAGAGTATACTTTACAAAGGAAGTAAAGAAACTCAACACCAATTCATATTTGCACACAAAGATGATGAGCTTGATACCCAAGTTCTTTGTGAGCAAACACATTGCAATAAATGTTCTTGGGGGCTGTCATGGGTTGAATTATGTCCACCAAAAAAGATATGTCCAAGTGAACCCTCAGAACTTGTGAGTGTGACCTTTAGAAATAGGATCTTTGCAAATGTAATCAAGTGAAGATGAGATGATACTAGGTAAGAGTGAGCCCTAATCCAGTGACTGATGCTTTTATAAAAAAGAGGGAGCTTTGGCAATGGACACACAGAGAGAATGCATCTGAAGACAGAAGCAGAGATTGGAGTGAGTGCTGCATCTACAAGCCAAGCAGCACCAAGAATTGCTGGCAACCACCAAAAGCTAGAAGGGACCAGGAAAAGCTCTAGGATTCCTCCCCTAGGGCTTTTAGAGACAGCGTGACTTGGGTGATATCTCGATTTCAGATGTCTAGCCTCAAGAATTGTGAGAGAATTGATTTCTACAGTAGTAAGCCACTCAGTCTGTGGTACTTCTTTCAGCAGCCCTAGGAAACGAATACCATCTGGGAAACAGTTGTCTGGACTGAAGTGAAGAGACTGGAATCATGCAAATGCATATGACAAGGCAAGTTCCATGGGCTGGTCCTACGATGAGGCTGCCCTGCCCTGTGTGGTCTTTCATACGCTACTCCATTCCCATACTTCAGAGACTGCCTGTCTTACTTGGAGGCAAGTGAGAAGTTGGGAAGAGGAGGAGCATTGGAGTGAGACACACATGGATAGGAGTCCTCAGTCTGCCGCTTACTAGTTGTGAAGTATCCTGTGGATCAAAAACACTTGGGCTCTCAGCATCCTCACCTGGAGAACACAGCCTACCTGTGGGGGTTGTGGTGAGGGCCACTGCAGTTAACTGCCAAAGCTCATCAGGGTTGGTTTCTTTGCCTCTGCTTGATTAAGTCTTTGAGCCAAGTTGAGAGTTGGAAAGGAAACTAACATTTTAAACACCTCCCGGGTGAGAAAGGAACCCTGGAGTCATTAAATGCTGGTGCTGGGAGGGGCTTTCAAGACCATACAGGCCAATTCCTCATTTTAAAGAGGAGAACGGTGTCACGTTGTAGATTTTCCACATTCCACACTATGCTGGGCACCTGGGAGACCCTTAACTGAATGTCTGCTGATGGATGAATGCACTTGGAAAGGCCTCTAAAGAAAGGAAACTTAGTCTTATGGGGAGAATGAAGTCACATTTGACACCATTTAATGTGCTTTGTGTACCTCACTACTCTGCCGAGAGTGGGATCTCCCTGTCCTATTCCTGTCTCGCTATCTTTCAAAGAATGGTTTGCTAGGCCCCCTTCCCTGAGAAACCTTCAGGGGGTCCAAAGTCTGAGCTTAAATGAAAGTTACTCAAAAACAGGTGCTCAGGATCCATCAAGTATTTTCAGCTGTGTAATTGATTCTACACCATAAGACCAAATAAAGAGGCATTTTTTAAAAACAGAATGTTAAACCCACCGTCAATTCTAGCATAGCACAGATGGAAAATATAGTCCCTATTGTAAAGAGAAAAGATGCAAGAAAACAAAATAAAGAGTAGCTATAACAATCCCATTTTTTTTCACCCAGAAGAAAGGCCTTCCATTCCCACCCAAGCTCCTGCCTTTTTCACTTACCCCACTTTATTGCTCTCCATAGCACTTATTACCATCTGAAATCGTATATTTTTTCATGTATTCAGTTGAACCTATCTCTATTCACTAGAATATTTCACAATGGTTCAGATGTGGTCTCCTGTTTACTGATGCTTAGAACTGATTCGTTTTGTTCATGGATGCCCAATGCCTAGAACAGTTCCTGCTGCATAATTGATTCATAATACATACTTGTTGAATAAATGGATGAATGGATTAGCAAATAAGTTGGGGCAAGAAGGGAGCAGTCACGTGATATGGGTAAGAAGATAGAATATGGGGTGGTTTTTTTCCTGTAAAATTTGCCCTAAATCCACCAGACCTGTGTCAACTAGCCATTAAGATCATCTCTTTCTCAGTTCTCTCCTCTGAACCCATTATTACCGGGCAAGGTTTGATTTAAATTTTCTTTTGTGCTCTTCCCTACGGATGACAATACAGGGCTCACAACTTTGGTCCATTTGGTATGGTATCTTTTACTTAAATTAATAGCTTGGCATTTTATTTTTAACAATTGGTTCCCATCTCAAAAGAATTCTGAGGAACAGGATGGAAACCTGTGGTGAAGATAAATAAGAAAGGCACACAGGAGGTTTGGGCTCCAGATCTCACTCTGCTTTTAACTCACTTGCCTGGCCTTTTAAAAACTACTTATCTGGGTTTGGTTTCGCCATAAAGGAATTGACCTTGATAACTTCTGAGTCTCTTCCAGCTTTCAAAGTTAGGATTCTGTAAAAATTAATAAAGTAAGCTCTTTCATGTATTTTGACCTCATAAGAGATGTCATTAGCTTGTATTAGATGTCACGGATATTGGCAATCTTGTGAGGTTCATTTGGGTCATGGGGTCGGCACTTTTTCTGGGGTCAGTGATTAACACCATGAAAAGACAGATGGTGCCCTCATTAAAAATCTAAAACGCCAGAGGAGGCACTCCCTAGGGAAACTGGAGATCACACAGCAACTCTTTTCACATTTAAAATTGTACAGGTGTGTAGGTATGGGGAGGTTGCAGGAGGCACAAGAGAAAAGGAAAGGTGAGGCGGAGGCTGGAGGATGTGCAGGTGATGGTAAGGCCGGTGCAGAGAGCCCAGGGTTGGAGAGTCACTCATTTTCCCTTGAGGGCCTGGGACACACCTAATCTTGACAAATGAGAATATGCCCATGAACTTTGACTAGATACATGAAAATATTTTCATTATGCACCATCCACTGTGGAGGAGGCAGGAGCTGCATGTTCCAGACATTTATCTTCTTTAGAGGTTTTAGTTATCCATTTGCCAGGACTGCCCAAGTCCGCTCTGTAACTATTCTGATGTTTATTATTTGGGCTTCCTTGAGATCCTAACTGTCTGTTTATAATACAGTTATTGGGTCAGCTCTCTAATTTATGCCTTCAGATCAGACATCTCACCTGAGTGCTAGTCTTATAGGACTGTCTGCCTACCTATCAGTATTTAGAGTTCATTACATTAAGTTTAATATGTCAAAAACAAACTTAAAACTTCCACTTCCTAATTTACTGTTTCAGTCATTGGCATCACTGATGTCATTCTGAGACTTCAACTTGAAAGTTTTTTTCCACTCTTTACAGCCTCCATCAATAATCTTTCATGACTCTGATAACAACAGGAACACACTAATCAATCTACCCACTGCTCAATACATGTTCACTATTCTATTATTTGTATTATGATATGAAATGATCTGATTTATCTCCCAGGGTTGTTGAGACTTCTCTCATTCTTCTTTCACAGAATGCCTTACAATTCACCTCCTTTCTCACCTCTCCATCTTAATCCATGTTCTCACCCCTCATACCTAAACTCTCAGAGTACCTTTCTTACTGGCCTCCAAGTCTCTAATTTCTTCCTGCTTTAATCCATGTCAAATAAATCAACCGTCTGGCCTTTTAAAAATTACTTTCGGCAAGTCACGTCCTACAAACCCAGGAGGATTCTCATATACCAATCAGAGTATTTTCAATCTCATAATTTGCCATTTGAGAGCTTTGGTTGACGACTCCCTTCTCCCAAGCTGTGATCTCTACTTGTCTTTATTCAACTCATACTTGTTTGAGTGCTACCTGCCAACTCCTCCCTCAGTCACCCACTGCTATCCAGCATTCCCCTTCCTCTTCAATGAGGCCCAGCTGTATGATGCTCCCTTGCAACCACCACAGTGACTTTGCTTCTATTCTTGGCCTACCAGGAATCTCCTGCTTTCTGCCAACCTAGATCTGATATTTCTTCCAAGATTCATCTTTTCCCAAGGGTGGCCCATGTGAATGAAGCCCAGACCACATAATCTTCCCCTTTTTCTGAATTCCCTTAGCATTCTCATATTAGTATCTATTGCTAAGTATTATTCTCTTAGTATTTCACATGTATTCATTGATGTCTCTCATTGAAATGTGAGCACCAAAAGGGGACAGGCCAAATCTTCATTTGCCCAAATCTTGACTGAGCAAGGACAAATACAAGACCAGTAAGGACCTTGATTTTGCACATAGCCCATGGATGAGGCCTAATTGCTGCAGCACAGGCAGTAAAGGCAATAAATGTCCACCGGAGAGCTAAGACTAGCTACTAGTGCAAGGTTAGAGGCTCAGACATGTTTTGAGAAGTGTTTGTTAAATTCTGAAATAAATTTTTAAAGAATAATTCAAGTCCCTTACACACCATGTGTTTCTCTGGCACAGAAATCTTTGTGTATTCATCCAAAATACAAAGGCCAGTATAACCTACCAGGTCTCAATCGCTGATCAGAATGGAAGTCCTTGACTCTTTTTGGCCAGAATACTGGGTCCAGTGGGGACGAAGTGGTGCCATCAGCTGACTCTATCAAAACTTGCCTCTACACCTGCCAAGTACCTGCAAGTTCACGTCCTACAAGTTAGCACCAGTTCATGTCCTTGAACCAAAGGCTGCCTGACTCCAGTACAAATCGGATAGTTGTAGGGCCATTTGTAAACCCAGCTCCCCTCCTCCTTGGTCCAGTTGTATAATGTCCTGTCCAAACCACAGAACCCAGCAGGCAGGTTAAGGTTAGGCCCCTTGCAGAGAGCAGAGGAGATGCCCCCTTCCACAGAAATTCTTAGAAAGAATGCAGAGAGGAAAATGGACTTACCCTCACACAGTAGTTCATGCCCATCCCCAACAGGTGCTGTAGAAAGTGCCTGTCCTGCCTGCTCCTAAGGGGTGGCTCCCTAGGGCGAGGAAGTGGACACGAATCAGGGGTTAAGGCGGTTGCCCTGTGGCCCACCAGGTCCGGCTGCAGTGGAGGTGCAGTCCCGGACCCACTTAGACTGGTTTCTGGGGATGACGGGCTGCTGGAACCTGGGTCCCGGCTTTCCTGGAGCTTCAGTCGAGGCACCTCTTTGGTGCCCAGGCAAAAGTTTTTCAGACTCAGCAAAGTGGCCGGGTTGGCCAGCTTCATGCTCGCCATGCGGGGGATCAAGGTGCACAGTGGGGTGGGGCTCTCCTGCGACGGCAAGGTGGCATCTTCAGCCGGCAGGTGAGGTGCCAGGGTGGGGTGGGGAGGCTGCGGGGAGCCCTTGTTCCCGACCGAGCCTCCGGGGCTACCTTCGTCCAAGGACGTGATTGACTCGTTCCGAAAGCGGCTGTACTTGGCCCTGTGCAGCATCCCGGGGTGCCCGAAGAGTCCTACATACAGCACGAGTCCTGCCAGGCTGTCCTGGCCGCTTTCTCGCATAGCCTTGGCAGTGCTGAAACAGGATACTGTTGCATAAATCGCGTCGTCTTCTGGTAGATAAACGGTGCAGACATCAAATGCCTCAAAGCCGGATGCAACTCGCAGCAGCTACCTCTCCAACTCTGCTCTCGCGCTCGCCCACGTCGGCTCCCGGCCCCTTAAGGGTGACAGCCCAGGGGGGAAACGCCTCCTCTGCTCTGATTTCAGTCCCTCCCTGGCCCAGGCAGAGGCACCAGTGTTCTCGCCTTGGAATCCTCGTTCGGAGAGCCTAGACTCGGGCTCCTGGCAGCGGGGGTCGCTCACGGCCAACTCTGAGGCACAGAGCCCAGCCCAGCACCCGCCCGGGGGGGCCGCCGCATCACTGGCCTTGCAGGAGCGGAGCAGAAATATTTGGCACCCTCACTCCCACCCTCACCCCAGCCTCCTCTTCTACACACAGGAACTTTCAAACCTGCTCCCTTCGGCTCCCACAGGGCGGGGCAAATGACTGGCCTATTAACCCTTTATTTGTTCCAGTGATTGTTCATTTAAAAAGGAAAAAAAAAAAAAAAAAAAGTGTCTATGAGCCACAGGCCCTTCTGTCTGGGTTCGTTGATTCCAAAGGCTGCCCTCTCTTGGAAGATCTGGTCTTGCATCCCGTTCTGGGCCACTAGCCAGGCGTACTACTGACGGGCGCTGCTCCTCCGCATTGTTTCACTGACTTGTGATGGGTCCTGTTCTTCAGATCCCCTCCCTGCCTGCCCACCCTCGCTCAGAGCTTCCCTCCCTCCTGGACTCCTCTCGGAGCTTTTTTTCAGAAGCCCATTTGCAGCCGAAAGCTGAGATGTGCAGGATGATGGGCGGCGTGTTGAAATTTTTATGAATGAACTTTGCCGACTGAATTTCTGTGTGTGTGTGCAAGCTAATAAATCTGTGAATGAAGCTGAGAATAGCTGTAATTGACTGACGGTCTCAGAGGTGCTTGGTTTTTATCCAATCAGGAGGCAGCTTGATGACTCATACACCATAAATATACTAAACTAGTAGCCCAGAGAAATCAAGCTAGTGGGAGAGGAGGGACGTATTTTATTTTGTGGTGTCTGATGAATGAGTTAAAAGGAAAGGCAATCTTTACTACAGATCATTAGCCGGGGAGCAGCAGGTTAAAAGATCTATTTTCTTTCTTGCTGAGATGGCCGGGAGAGCAGAGCAGAAGAGCTAAAAATTAGACCCATTGTTCCAGTGATTTTAGGACATATGGTTCACAACTCCTGTGGGAAGCCATGATGCATTTTTCTTAGAAACATAGTTCTTTTTTTATTGATTGTTGGTTCCATCTTCCGTCTGGTGCAACTTCCTGTACCTATCAAATGCATCCTGAAGACATGATGACAACTGCAAAGGCTTAGCACACAGGAAGCCAAAACCAGAGCTGGGAAGAGGAAATGCAGGTTCTTCAGGAATGAAGAGGAAACTGCTGAAACACTGGAGGTGTGGGGGTGTCAGGGTGGGGTGGAAATCACACATAGGAAAAGAACTCTCAGCTAAAGATGGCACTACTCCGTGGCTCAAGGCTCTGACATCTGAAATTGTTCATTAATTAAAAAATTAAGACAAACTAGCAACCAAAGGAATCAAGGGTGCCACCTTCATTATCTTATTGACCTCAAGGCTGCATTAGGCTCATGGGTATTCATGACTTTGGGAGTCAGAGCTCCCTTGTGATTCAAACACAGATTCTAAATTAAATGGTTGAGAGTGACCAGTGAAAAGAGTATCTTCCTCCCAAGCTCCCTGCTCCCCCAGGCATAATAACACAACTATCACATCCTGTCTGCCAAGCCTGTTTGGACGTTTCTTTCCCTGGGAAGGCCTTGCTGCATCTTCATAAATCTTCCCTTCAGCCCTTTCTGACCTCCTCTTCCCTCCCCACATCTCTTCATGGCAAAACTGAAGGAAGTAGCTAAATCAGTTGGACCCCACTTCTCTGGGGCTGAGGAGGCAGGCTCTAGGCAAGATTCTGTATCTCTCACTCCTCCCCATTCCTCACCTGCTTTCTTCCTCTCATTTCTCTTGCCTTCTCCTGGGTCCTCGCCTTGCTTCAGCTGTGTTGTGATGACTTCATCACATGCTGCCTTTAGAAAGTTATTTTACCTCTCTGTGCCTGAATGTCCTCATATGTTGGCAGCAGCCATCTAATGAGGGCATTCTGAGGGCTTATGAATAATCCTCATCCCTGTAAAGTCCTGGCCCAATGCTCCATATAGTGCCCATCTCACTAAGATCATTTGGGCAGTATGAAAAAAACACCATTGGAACCAGAGCTGCCTCCCCATGAAGCTCATATTCTTACCCCTCACAGCACAGAGTTTACATCATTCTAGGAATTAAAAAGAAAAATTAACACAAAGTGGGAGATGCCAAGAAAGCCAACACTGTCCAAAAAAAAACCATTTTTTTTTAAGTCAGGTGGGCGTGGAGAAGGCTGGGAAGGGCAGGGGCCGGCCTGGCTGATAGGAATCGTTACAGAGGTCTCATGACTGCAGGATGAGCTGTCCAGGGGCACCAGCTCATCTAGGTAGGCACCATGTTGGTTAGACTCCAGGAGCTCAGACCAGCCTACATTCCTCAGAAGGTGTAAGTCCTGGGAGGGTTGGGGGTTGGGAAATGGGACTAGGTAAGGTAAGAAAGCAGTCGTGGCCATTGTGGGCTTCTTCTCTGTCCTTGGGAGCCCCAGAGACCTTGGCTCTCTTAGGCAGCTCTGTCACAGACTTTTATGCAGGTGAAAGAAATCAGATCTGCAACTGAGAAGTGGGGAATAGCCTCTAGGCTGAGCCTGCCCAGCTGGTTTCTGTTTCAGTCCTAGCAGCCCAAGAGAAGGCTCATTGATTGAGCTGCTTTTCATTCCAGGTAGATGAGTGGGCAAGGCAGATGGTTTGCTTTTTCCAGGACATTAGAACATTCTCTTCAATTAGTAATGATTAAAATAATATTAATAAGAGCTACTATTTGTGGAACACTTGACAGTTTACCTGCATTCTGGTCCAATTATTATAACGAATTGTGGAGGCTAGGAATATGTTCACTACTACCTTACAAATATGGAAATGAGGCTGAGAGAAAGGGCAGTGACTTGGCCAAGGTGCTCCAGCAGTTGAACAACGATCCTGGGATCCCTCTGGTCCTGACTGCAGAGCCTGTGCTGGCAGCCACTGTACTCTGCTGCCTCCCAGGGGACCAGAGAGCTCAAGTCTAGTTTCCAGGCCTATGAGGGCTAACGGGCATCTTACTCCTTCTGGAAGCTCTGAGAAATGACTGGGCAGGAAAAAGAGCTGGGGACTTTTGGAGGTTCTAGGATTGTTGGGAAGCCTACCCCTGAGCTGGCCCTCACCGATCAATGAGATCAGGCCTGGCAGAATATATCTATGGTTCTCCTGTATTTACCCCTCCAAAATCCCCAGGGAAAGTGTATTTAGCCCAAAGATCATTTACCAGAAGATAATACTAGACTAGATATCTCCAGTAACCTTGGTAGCTGGGCCACAACCTGCAAGCAATATGCACTCAGCAGCAAAATGTAATTGGATGAACATTAATCTGGGAATTACAGAACCAGCTGCAGGATTTTGAGTAAGTTTCTTAACCTCTCTGAGACTTAGTTTTTGTATATGTAAAATGGGCACAATAATAATTAATATCTGCTAAGCACTAACTTTTGATCAGGTCCTGAACTAAGTGTTCACGTTTAAGCCCCCAGCAAGTCTATGCAGCAGGTGCTATTTGTCATTTACTGACTTGCCCGAGTCACATAGCCAGGGTGTGGTAGTTGTGGTGTAGAACCGAGCACTGGCTCACTCCAAACTATGCCCTTAACCACTGTGATATGATCCGGTGCATACGAACCTACCTCCTACTCTATGCTCAATAAATGTTGGTTCTTGCTTCTTTCTCCTCCTTGGAGATCATACCTAAAAAATTCTCCCTTAATACCTTACAAGTAAAAACATGAATAATAGATAAGAACAGCCATTATTGTCATCAAATCATCTGAGAACTATGAATTTCCATCATCATTGCCCTTGGAAAAACAGAGTTCTGTGTAGACGCCTGTGGTATGGCATCTTTACTTTGAGACACCCCCCGCCCAAGGGCACCTGCTAGAAAACAACATGTCAGCTTCTTAAGAGACAGCCTGTGCTTGCCGAGCTTCTTGAGTAAAATAGGCAGTTTCAAGGAAGACCTGGGTCAGACTGGGCCATGCTAGAATTAATGAGGTCCAGGAGAAGGAGAGAAGAGAACCTGGCAAAATGCCTGCCCAGCTTTTGAAGATAACCCAGTGTGGAATTCGGGGTAGAGGTAGGTGGTGCTAGAGGATATGCGGAAAAGGAGAGAGAATAAGGCAGAAACATAATAAGCCTGGGGAGCTGTAGGCCAATTGCTACTTTGGAAGAAAGTGGAACAGGTGATATCTGAGTGCTGTAGCACAAGAACTATTACTTCCTCCCGCCACTATCATTTCTATCATAAAGCAGACCTACTGGTGAAGGATTTTCACTGAGCAATACCCACAATGAATCTAACAGCCCATCAGTTGGGAATAAAAACATTGCTGAAGCTCTATTTTGGTGAACAAAATTCCACAAGAAAATATTTATATAAAGTTCCTGATAGAGACCAAAATATCATTTTCAGGATGGGGAAATGAGATGGTGAAGAAGAGTTGTATCTCTGAGAGGAAAGGCCTAGTCTCACAAAAATGGAGGTAGGATCATATCGCCCAAAGTTGTCACTAACTCTGGAAATAATCATCTTTTACTTCCTGAACCCAGTGTTTTCTGTTTTCTCACAGTCTCCCGCCCTGGAGTTCGACAGTTTTATGATGGTTGCTGTTGATCCCACACCTAGAACTAGAACCAGTTACAAAAAAGTACAGGAAAATGGATATTTTCCTATCTGTTGAAAAGAAAATAACGTATCTGAAAATGCTATGTAAAGAGACAGCCGGGCGCAGTGGCTCATTCCTGTAATCCCAGCACTTTTGGAGGCCGAGGCGGGCAGATCATGAGGTCAAGAGAGCGAGACCATCCTCACCAATGTGGTGAAACCCCGTCTCTACTAAAATACAAAAATTAGCTGGGTATGGTGGCACATGCCTGTAGTCCCAGCTACTCGGGAGGCTGAGGCAGGAGAAATGCTTGAAGCTGGGAGGTGGAGGTTGCAGTGAGCTGAGATCATGCCACTACACTCCAGCTGGGCGCCTGGCGAAAGAGCAAGACTCTGTCTCAAAAAAAAAAAAAAAAAAAAAAAAAAAAAGCGTTAGACATCATGCAAATGAAAAGTAGATGAATTACTTAGGGTCAGGTTCAGTTGCAAATAAGAATTTTAAATTACAATGGATTAAACAGAAAGTTTATTACTCTGGAGGTGGGAAATCCAGGGGCAGCGTCAGCTCCTGGCCATCCATAAGGTATCATCCTTCTCAAAGCCCATAATGGCTGATGGAGCTCCAGATATTTCATCTGCACTCCAGGCAGAAAAATGGATGAAAGAACAAAGAAAGATATGCCCCCTCTCTTTAGGAAACATTCTGGATACTCCATACAATGTTTTGATTTATGTCACATTAGCCAGAACATAATCACATGCTGTACCTAGCTGTAAAAGAAGATAAAGTCTTCTTCATCTGAGAATGAAAAAGCCTTTTGTCTGGGTGCATGGCTGCTGCATAAAAAAAAATCACAGCTCTGTTACCAGGGGGAAGAACATAAAAATAGATATTATCTGCCACAGTAATATTTTTAGAAGACCTTCTACTTTATTAAATTTAAACCTAGCATAGGATTAAAATGTTCTTGGTCAATGTGGTCCAATTTCCCCCTTTTTTGTACACCACACACACACACACACACACACACACTGCTTATAAATAACCCATATAA